ATGCCCAGGCCAGGATATGGGCAGACCCGTAGACCTGTCTCTTATACACATCTAGATGTGTATAAGAGACAGCTCTCTCTCTCTCCAGACAGTTAAGAAGACTAACCATGAAGTTGCAGTGATCTGTCATCATTGCAAACAATGCGTCGACGGAGACCTCTGGAAGGGACAGGTATGCCTGCAACAGTGCAAAGGCAAACAATCACAACCAATCCAGACATTCAAAATGCCACACAACCAACAATACTAAAGTTAGCAATATTCCATGAATCAAAAACTGATGATCACAGGAAGTTCTGCAATCTGATCTCAAACAATCTTGCAAAAGTACTGAATTGTCAAACTAATCCATACAACTCGAGCTTCTCTCCATCTCAGGCATTGAAGACCTGCCACTGAGCCAAAGCGCTTCCAGCAGACAAAGGGGATCCGCTGCACAGACAAACATGCATTTACTAAACCACCAGCACCCCGAAGCAGCCGTCCCGAACCTTTCTTGGGCAATCTCATGAATATCTTTGTTTCATGTGAATGCAGCTGGCGAGAAGAAGAGAGACAGCGGGCGACACGGTCCTTCAGTGTGGGCGACTGGTGCTTCTTCCTGCATTGTTTCTTTTTTTTTTGCTTCCTCCGCGTTTTTTTTTATTTTTCCCGTCGTCTTTTCTTCCCCCCCCCCCCCTAGGTCTTTCTTCTTTTCCCCTATGGTCGGCCGCAACTGCAGGAGGGCCCTCGCCCCACCCCACTCAGCACCTGCAGAAAAGGCAAAAACCACAGGGCAATATCTTTGTTGATGTATGTGTCTCATCCTTTCCAGGGCATGCTAATTTTCTCTGTATCATTCCTGGTTCTAATGGAAGATCATTCTTATTTTGCACACGTGGATAGCAGTGCAGCGAGGCCGCAATGCATTCAATGAACGGCCTCACTACACCAGTCACCACATGCACAAACGACAAAAATTATGGGACTGCATCTTTCTCTTTTTTACCTATTTCTAAGTTCGACCATTTCTCGATTTACGAGTGTCATCCTTGCACAGGGCCTGTAGGGCTAATCTTCCCTGTACCATTCCACGTTCTAGCGGAAGTTCCATTCCTGTGAAAAGTTGGACAACAGTGCAGCGAGGCCTACGCACGGCCTCGCTCCACCACTCACCACATCCACAAAAGATGGCGCTGTCTCCAGTGCAGAGATTTGCAGAGATGCATGGACGTCAATTCACTCTTTTAGACCATTCTGATTTATGTGTGTCATCCCTGCACAAGGCCATGCTAATCTTCTCTGTATCATTCCATCATCTAGCAGAAGATTCATTCCCATTTTGTACTATCCACCGTGGAGCAGCCAGGCCTGCCGCCTGCGCCGTTCCAGAACAACTTTTTTTTTCTTCTATTTTCTTTTTCCTCTTCTATTTTCTTCTTTGTCCTGCTGTTGTCTTGTACGATCCCTCGTTTCCGTTTTCGAAACAAGCGGCCACCCACACGTGTGCTGAGGCTCTACCGAGACTCTAGCAGTCCTGCCCAGGCCTTATTGAATTCAGGGAGAGAAAAAGCTTTGCCTGGAGGGGATACTGGTGGTTCAACAGAGTTGAAAAATAGGAAACAACAACAACAAACAATCGGGGCAAACAGTGCTCCGATTGAAACTGTGGTAGGCGAGCAAGAACAGGGTATGACTCAAGGTCAAAGGTAGCACTTCCAGTCACAGAACCTTCATCCCTGGAGCCACAAATGAAGGCATATGGATCCAGACATCGACGAGGCAATGGACACCTCCATCCGCGCTGAGAGCAAAAAACTCAGGGATTGCTCCCCTTCCTCCAAACGCAATCACTCACCCTGTTCATGGTATATAAGGCCGCCACCATCTCCACCGTCCTGTTCCGCACAAGGGATGCCACCTGCTCTCAAATGACAGCCAAACAGAACGAGAACAGAATTGAGACACAAAATTGTCAATACAGTGCATGCTCATGTCGCGCTGCCACTGGTCTTCATTGATGATTTGGCATATGCCACCTGTCTCGACTGCTGACGTGGCATTGTCCACGCTGTCTACATGAGGTGACTGGTTGCGAGGAGGAGGAAGATCGGGATCCGTGGATGAAGACGTGGCATTGTCCACGCTGTCTACATGAGGTGATCCGGGTACTCACCTGAGGTTGACGTTGACACTGGAATCTGCTATGTCTTCATGGTCTTAACGTGCCAAGTGGCACTAGTGTGTGTAATCAGGAATATACTTATTATCACTGTTGACGTGGAGAGGGAAGAAGCCCGGAGAAGGAGGGATCTGAAGGGATTTTTACTGAGAGATCTCTCCTCCTCTCCTTTGTCTATTCCCCCCTCCACTCTCTTCTTGAATGGTAATGAGATACTGTTTGAGACTTCACTTCACGATTTGGAGACTGTGTCGCAGGTAATGAGACTACTAATGTTTGACGACTTCTAAGTATCTGCCAGACTGGGTTCATTACAAAAGGGTTATAGTACCGTTATACCCATCGAAAACATCAGACTATGCCAAGACAGAAACCTGAGGAGAAAGATGGGGGGGGGGAGCCTACAGGCCAAAAAGATCCATTGCCAGCCAGAAGGTTGTCTGCCATCAAGACATGCGACATCACTCTTTTCCAATCTCGACCATGTGACATCAACGTGGAATTAACTCAGGCGAAGTGTGTGGAGACAGGAATTAAATAACTCACTTTCTTCCAGTCTTGACCGTGCGCGCGGAAACCCTGCAAACATTACAAAATTGAAAACAACCCACAAGATCCATAAGCACAGAAGAGCAAACCAGCATGTTCTTCCTCTCAAATAGCCTCCTCTCACTCCCACTCACAGTACAGTACCACCAAATAGCCTCCTCCCACCCAAAACTACGACTAATGACAGTTTCTCCCAGTACAGCCAATCCAGTTTCCAGTCATTCCCAGTTTGCCCTCATCATCCATGTTTCCTCAGCAGCAACCATCAAATCATCAGTACGTCCAGACCTGACCTGATGAGCCTAACAAGGCCTGGTACGACACCTGTTTCTAGCAGTTGAACAGGTGGGAACCCGAGCCCAGTGTAGACACTACTTTGGGAAAAAGGGAGGTCTCCTATGTAGAGGAGGTTTGCTTCAGGCCTGAGAAAAAGAAGAAAGGGAACAAAAAGGAGCCAAGGGATAATTCAAAAGCAACACTTACTCCCAATTCCGTAACACACCCACTTACTCCAAATTGCTTGGGGGTAAAAAACAGAGACGTTCACCCCAACCGTGGACTCAAACCTGTCCTATCTCTCGAACTCAAAAGCATCCCAGTGCGGTGTCTAAATGTCAAAAGGGACAAGATTCGTCACAAACAGTTTGACCAGTAAGCCTGTCTCAAGTGGGAACCAGTAATACATCAAAATCGTTCCTTTGGCAGTAGTCAACTGACACCTTGAGCGAAACAGAGTGCAGGGGTTTTATTGCCGCGGATGCAGACTGCCGGCCTATGCTGGCACCTCACATGCCATTGAAGCTACCAATATAGAGCGCCACCATCTTGCCATGCACATCTGCCAGTGCTGGCATTCGACAGTCCTCTCAGCAGGCATTGGAGGGCCTACCATTATCCCCCACATACAGCGCACTCTCATCATGGACTGTTCTGGGACGCACACATCGATTCTGTACACATTCATGCTTAGGGTGCGCTATGTTCTGTGGAGGACCATCGTCGGGGCACTCGACAGTAGATGTCGGACAGGAGGAGCAAGAATGTCAGCATCCGAATAGTGATTTTCACACAGGAATGTGTGCGAGCTGTGCATGGCAATGCACAGGTGACTTCTCAGATACTGGATACCATGACATCATAAGCTAGAGAGAAGAGAACCGGATTCCCTTTCCTCTGTCCCTTTCTTCTGTTGTTTTCTTATGCCTAAGATAACATAGTTCTCAGTCAGACAAGCCAACAGCTGAACCGAGTGGCGGGGATAACATTGGGAAATATCACTAACTCTCGGTTCATGCAGCCACTATGGTAACAGCAGGCGTTTTCATGGTGGCAAGATGTTCTCCCTTATTTCAATACGCACCCAAGGCTTTAATTGTGGACGTTCTCCCTTATTTGAATATGCACCCAAGGCTTTACTTGTGATTACTTTTGTGGGAGCTATGACATCCTTTTTTTGCGGCAACTACAGGAATTTTGCAAAATGATTTAAAAAGGGTTGCTTATTCTACTTGTAGCTAGGCTACCAGAGTGGCCCGGGGTCACTTGCCCGGCCGGGCCAGAAACAATAAAAATAATAAAATTATTTCTGAATTTGTTTTTTTATTCTAAATTTGGTGAAGAATTTCGATGTGACCCTGGGGCGAAAGTTGTTCGGTTTATTTTTCTGCATAACATAGTTTTTTTCGGATTTTTTTTCTTTTTTTTTTTTTTTGCTGGGACCTTCCCTGGTCCTTGCACGGGCTGGCCACCCGGGACCCGGGCGGCCCGGCTGGTAGCCTAGACTTGTAGCCAATTAGGTTGTAGGGTATTCGCTTGTGGTATCTCCATCCATTCTGTGAGTGTATTTCATCTGATGAACCATGCTCTTTTTAAAGCATTAAAACACACTATTCCCGATTGCCTACTTTTTCTCCTGCATTTGATAACACCTGCACTGAACATGACATTAACCTTCCATCTATGTAGGTTGCGGGTAATGCAGCCCAGACTTAAACCCTGGCCGCCCTTTCTCAAATGCCACACCACTTCCATTTATAAGTCCCACCAAAGCTAAAATCCAGAAACACTGCTGCCATTCATGCTTAAAAACTCGATATACGCGCATATGGACAAGGAGACAGGAGAAACTAGAGACCACTCAGTTGGCCAGCTCCTCATACTCACGTACAGCCAAAGCCCAACCAGTTCAACTGAGAATCTCACCCATCCATCCCGAGGAAGAAAGGGGAGAGGAAAGGGGAATCATGAGGTGAGAGACAGAGGTAAGCAATACGACAGGAAAGAGGAGAAAGGAAGTAGACGAGAGAGACAACGGGATAGAGAAGACGAGAGGAGAGACATGAAGAGAAGGATCAGGAGAGGTGGCTTCCCAGCCACTTCAGCACACACCTGAAGAAATTCTGCTATGTCCTCCTTGGTCCATGGTGGCCCCAGCCTGTCAGAGAGTTTCCGCTTCTGCGAACCACCATCCAGTCCCATACCACACACATGAACAACATAACGATCAGGAATGCACACTTTACTGTTAGAAAAAAAAAACAAATACATTCTATTGTGGGGAAAAAGAAGAAAAAAAAAAAACACTTGTCCATTTCCGGGTCCAGAGCCGACGGTAAATACAATGTCAGCAATGTCCAATGGGGGGGGAAATAGGACTCTGATATGCACTCTGAACAAAGAGCCCTTCCCTGTATGCCAAGCTCGAAACAGAGCGAATTCTTCACAGAGGAGCAGTAACCAATCTGTCCGGACTCTACACGACCCTCAAAACTAAACGGCCACACCCCATCTGACCAGAGAATCCATCTACATTGACCAAGGTGAGACGGAGACCCCGACATGAAACAGACCAATCTCTTCCTTTGTCTCGAGTAAGCACAGTGGAGAAACTCGATTTGCAAGCATAATGAAGTTGAATGGACCTGTGACCAGCATTTATAACGCGAGAAGGCAACTCACAGACATGACAAGACAAAATGATCACACCAACACAAGAATGGACAATGCTGTAGTCTCTTGATGAAGAAAGTCCCGTTCTACCGTCCCAACAATCGATGCAAGCACAACGATACTTCTCTGCTCTCACTGGTCTCACTACCAGCCTCTGAGATCATTTCTCTATCCTCTACTGTAGCCCATACTACAATGTACCACCGCAGAGGACGATGCCGCTATACACCTGAAGAAATTATGCTATGTCCCCCTTGGTCCAGGGTCGCCCCAGAATTTCCGCTTATCGAAATTCTTCCGCCTGGGCTATGGCTGGGGCTGTGTGCCACCCCTCTCGTCCACTGGCCAGCACTAGAGCTTCCTCCCAGACACACGTGTGCTTCAGCAGCCTATCACTGCCTGCCAGCTCACAAAGGATCACTGGACTGCCCCATCCACTTTCTCTATGCCAGGCCAGGATATGGGCAGACCCGCAGACACTGCCTTTGGTACCTTTCTGGTCCACTGACCAGCACTCGAGCTTCGTTTCAGACACGCGTGTGCTTCAGCAGCCTATCACTGCCTGCCAGCTCACAAAGGATCACTGGACTGCCCCATCCACTTTCTCTATGCCCAGGCCAGGATATGGGCAGACCCGTAGACACTGCCTTTGGTACCTCTCTGGTCCACTGACCAGCACTCGAGCTTCGTTCCAGACACATGTGTGCTCCAGCAGCCTATCACTGACTGCCAGCTCACAAAGGATCACAGGACTGCCCCATCCACTTCCTCTATGCAAGGCAGGATCTGGGCAGACCCGTAGGCACTGCCTTCCAGTACCTTCTGGAGGCGGCCACAACCTGCCGGGATCCCAGTGTAGCTTCAAGGGGGAGCACTACTCCCCTGGGCATGGGCGGTCCTGCCTGAGTATCCAGGAATCGCTTCCCTCCAAAGTAGGTGCAGGTGTATGTGGGAATGGACGAGGGGCGGGATACTGCGCATCAAGGATCTATCAGAATATGAAGCGATCAAGGATGAGGGATGGTGGGTGTTCTCCTGGTTGTTGACATGAAACTTGGAGATGAGGCGGTCTGGCTGGTCATCAATGAAGTGATCATTCCGGTTTGGGTGCAATGTGTCTTGTTTCGCTGTCACTATCTTTCAAAGAAAGCCTGGACTGATGGCCAGGTTCCTGGGGCTGGGCTGAGCTCACCTTGCTTGATATATGAACTCCTCTCCAAAGAGTTCATTCTCTTGTGCCAGCTCAAACTCAGAGATTACACTAGAAAAAGGGGCCAAAAAAATGCAATCTTTGCAAGGATTTCCTTTTCCGCATCTCAGAGTCTCGATCTCAGTTCCAAGGGCCAGAACCCCACGTAACATAGCCCCAACCGCTAGGAGTCCTAGGCCCCTACGTACACTAGCAGGTAGGCCCGGTGGGTCTGTCGGGAAGTAGGTCGGTAGGGTGGCAATCCAGTAGGCTCAGTTCGTTACTTGTCAGTAGATGTAGTCTGTCGGTCCAAACGCAGCTCAGTCCTAACAGGAAAGTCCATGAATACTCCACTGCGCAGGAAGCACAACACAGCCGGCAGGCAACAAAGTACCGGATGATTTCTACTGAGCGAGCGTTCAAGCTTTTGATTGATTACGGTTTTCAATCCAGGCTGGAAAGAGGCACGCGAAAGTCAAAAAACAGCTTCGGGAGAGGGATCAAGGTAGAATTGATTACCTTTGTCAATCGATTACTTTTGAATGATCGTCCTTGATTGATCACCTGTTGAGCGAGCGATCAAGGTAGAATTGTATCGAGATCCCCTGTCGAGCTTTATTAGTAGCGAGATCAAGCTCAACTAGAGGGCCAACAGAACAAGAATAGAATTAATTACTAGCACAAAAACTTGAAAAAAGGAAGGAGACGCTTGATTAGCGGCAACATAAATTAACAGCGAGATTAGAACATGAAAAAAAAAAAAAAAAAAAAAAAAAAGATCAATTAGAACATGGAGAAAACAGGCAGGAAAAAAAGCCTCGCTGCACTGCTCACCAAATGAGCAAGAGGGCGAGCGCATCTCCCCTAGGAGGTTGCAAAATGCACTCGCCATTATTTTGACTGTTTCCCACTTGGAGAGTGAGACAGCGAGAGGCCCATACTGGGCAAGCGGTAGCAGAGAGAAATGGTCGCCCAAACGCGACTGTCTGCATAGAAGCGGGTCACTCGCGGGGACAGGAGCCATGGAAGAGTGACAGAAGCATAACCAACCTGGGATGGACGAGGAGTAGGCCAAAACAGGGCTCTCATCATGCAAGATTATCTACCCAACATGCCGGCGACGAGCTTTACCTTCCCGCAAAATGAATGACGGCCAGCTCCGCCAGAGGTTAGACCACTCTCTCTCTCTCTCTCTCTCTCTCTCTCTCTCTCTCTCTCTCTCTCTCTCTCTCTCTCTCTCTCTCTCTCTCTCTC